ACCACCTCTACCCAATCACATGAAATGTGAATGTAAAATGAAGCGGCACATAGAGAACTTTTCCCTTTTCACCTCTGCTTAAAACAAACAACAACGTAGAACTCTGCTCTCAAAAACCACATGATGTTAGTTTGTTTTGTAGTTCAATACCTTAATTACATACTCCAACACTGCTTTTCAAATAATTTATTTAAATTTTAGGATAAAAAGATGCATGAAGCGTACAGCATATTGAATAGGCTTTCTCTTACAAGCTTTCCACAAATTTGAACAGCATAATATAGTGTACTTTAACAGGAAAACACTTATTTTCTCCCCTGTAAGTTCACTCTCAAATCCACCCCCAACACAGTATTCAGCAGTATTTCATGGCATCAAACACATCTTAAGACCACTTTGCAAATCCTTTTGCGTTCTCTTTGCAGCCACAGAAGCTCCCATCAACTACAGCTACTGCAAATGCAAAGAAACAACAGCAGAAAAGTAATGAAAATCATGAATGTAGCTCTCCTAATGGGATGTAACAGCTGGAACAAAGATCTAACACAGCTGGGAAAGCCATAATTTTCTTTTGCAACTGAGAAAATACGTGAACAGCAATGACATGCTTTTCAGAGCAATACCACACTGTCTCAATTACGTCAGAGTAAATCCATTCTGTTTCAAATACAAAGATTATGTCCCTCCAGCTGACAACCCTGCTAACTCAAACCCCACTGGTTTGACTCAGAGATAACACACTGACAATAAAGATGCTACAATTGGAATTTAATTAACTCTACTTATGCAAAACCACGGCAAAATTCAGCTCATTCATCCAGAGCTGGGTTTGTACAGTAACTTATTTTAGGAGCAAAAGGAAGCAATTCTGAAAAAGCAGGGAGACATCAGCTGAGCATTAAGATGTTTTTTTTACAAACCTTTTAATGAAATAAGTACAGGAATAATTTTAAGAGGGGTAATACAAGAAATGTCATAGCACTGGCTTGGAAACAGCATATTCCCCTTCTTCACAAAAGAAAAAAGAAGATCGTAATACCTCCTTCTCCATTCGAAGAAGGGGGGAAAAATTCTTTTCTCCACCTTTAGGAAGCACACCCAAAGCAAGAGAGGGATACCTTGTTTCTATGTACTTCAAATTTCTCAAGCACCAAAAGGAAAAAGTTGTATTTTCACCCTCTCCATGTCTTTTCCTCCCAGTCATACAAACACCGCAGTACCTGTGGCAGTGTCAGCTGAGCTCAGGGGGGCAATGCTGCTCAACAACTCAGCTCTTGCACAAGCAATGATCCAGTTACAAAAGCACCTCTCCAAAATTTGTACTAACCATAGGGAAGGACAGCTCCGACCCCGCCTAGGTTAGCTCCTTCTTCACCCCATAACCCAGTTCTCCCCAACTCTCTGTATTACTCCCTTTAATCTCTTTACAGATCATTTCAGTCTGGATTGAGATACAGAACTCATGGGTGCTGCAACTGCATTGGTGCTGCTGGTTTAATATTGCACAGTCCCATTTCCAGACTAACCATACACCGCTTCACATCCAACTAGCTCTCAAATTTGCAGAAAGCTTGTACAAGGAAACCTACTCAATCTAGAATTCAAGGAGTTTTCAGCAATATCACTAAATTCCTCCTAAACTCAGTTACACTAGCAGTGCCAGACTATCTCAATTATTCCTGAAATCATGAAGCAGAGGCAGGGCCAGGTATCGAGTATGTTCAGCTCATCACTTCGCTTTATTGGGGATCATTGCAGCAGTGAGAGCTTCTGCCTCAGAGAAGAGGCACGAGCACAGCACCTTCAGGCCATGGCTGCTCCTCTCTTGATCAAGCTGGGCTTCCCAGCTCATGCGTCTTTGCTCCACAGACTCTCCAAATTCACTCTTGCAGAGTAAGTCAACACCTCCAGCCTTCACAGCTCCTCTGATCTTGAGGCTGCATCCAACACCAGTTGACAGCAATACGCCTGATACTCCTCCCATCCACAGCTGTAACTCCCTCATTAGCACAGCTCCCACAACTTGGACACAAGTGCTGGCAAACTGTTCTATCAAAACATTTCAGGGTTGCCATCCCTGTTACCTCTCCCATAACCTCCCGCAGTCCCCAGCACGTTCTCTGAACTGGTGGTGGCTACAGTAGCCCCAAATCCACCACCAGTGAGTCACCTCCTTACCCAACACTTCGGGTGAGCAATCACATTATCCATCCCAGCTCCAACTCTTGTTTCCTCTAAATGCCTTCCCTGCTGCCAGACCCAACCGCAGCAGTTCTGACCTCTGCCCCAGGGGCTCTCCAGGACTTTCCCCTCCACAAGTACAGACGGAGCAGCAGCACCCCACAAACCCACAGCTCCTCAGCACGCCAAAGCCCTGTTTCCCCACGCACGCACACCCTACACTCAGACCTACAGGGCACCCTCGCTCCCCTCAGCCTCTCCACTATGTTCACCCTCTCTTCACCTGCCTAATACTTACAGATTCAGCAGCAGCACTGGCAGACCCATCTCTGCACACACATCACCGCTGCCCTCCCTGCCATGTACACCCTCCCTGTCCTACACACCGGGCAGCAAAGGCCTCTGCACACACAGACTCAAGACCCTTCAACCATACCGACAGCCTGAGCCTTGCTCTGCACCCCCCGCAACACTCCCTCCATTCAGACCCTGCAGCAACACTGACAGCCTCCCTCTCCCCATATACCACCACCTCCCCACACCCTCCTCGACCTAACAGGACATTGGCACCCCCTTCTTGACATTCCCACACCCAGCAGACCCCTACCACTCTGTCATCCCCCCCATCAGCATTACTGACCCAGGAAGCAGCTGGACATCCCACTCTCCTACACCCCATATTCTGCAGGTACCTCCTCTCAGCACCTCCACTGCAAGCTCTGCAGGGACACAGACAGCCCCGAGTGACACACAACTTCATCCTCTGTCGCACTCCCAGACCTAGCAGTGATACCTGTTGCCCCTTCCCCATCCTGTCCACACACACATACTCCAGACTGCTATGTGACCCAGCCACCAGTCCTTGCACTGACTCCCAGACCTCTCTTCTTTCTCTTTTCCTACTTGGTGTAAACTCACTCCTTTCATGCTCCCACCCCAGCACAGCCTCACCCCAAATCCAGTGAAGCCCTGGGCATCCTGCCCCCCACCATCAATCCCAGCTCCTCCTGCATGTGCCACCTCAATGGCAGCACTGCCTCCTCCAGTCCCCCACATATCCAGCCAAACCTCTTCTACTGCATCCAGATGAGTACACTCACACCTCATGCCACGTGCACTAAAATTATCCCATCCCTCCCATTCTCCATACACATACTCCACATCTCCCACATGCAGTCCCGTCACCTTCCCACATCCTGTGTACTACAGCTCCATCTCCCCCCAAAACCACCCTAGTGCCTCCCTGCTTTCACACACTGCAGCCCCACATCCCCAGTCCCACAGCACCATCACTACACATCCCCAGCCTCAAGTATATGGGCCCCATGCTGCCCTGGTACGTGTCAATTCCTGAGCACAGCCCCCCCTGCCCACCCCCATACATGTGCACCCCTGACACCAGGCACCACAGCTCCACATCATCCCTATACACATACATCCCTGACCCCACATAGCATAGTATGCGTGCATCCCCTGACAGCACCAAAGCCCCACACCTCCCCTTGTACCTCCAGCCCCACAAACCACTGCCCCTTTACACACATATACCCAACCCAGAGCACTCCAGCCCCAGCAATAGTTTCCAGCCACATCTCCCTCTGCCCACACACAACTCCACTCCCCCCTAGGCACACCTCTCCGACCCCATGCACTGCAGTTCCATCTCTTTAGTCCTTACACACCTTCCATGGCAGGGATTAACACCTCCTGCCCCCCTGTCCCATACACCCAGCCCAAACCTTGTGTCCTACAGCTTCAGCACTTGCCGTTGTGTCCACATCGCTGACCCTACACACACATCCCAGCCTGCAGTGGGCTCCCACAGCCTCCTCAGAACTCCCATCAAGGTACAGACTCTGACCCAGTCATGAGCCAGGACAACACAGCAGCAGCATCACATCCTGTCATGCACATGTCCCACCCAGCAAGAGGGCTGGCTGCCCCTTCTCCCCTCACAGTACACCCCTCATCCCATATCCAGAACACTACAGCCCCAGCAGCAGAGCTGACAGTCCCACCTCCCCCTCCTGTACACACACACCCTAACAGCCCGCATGTTGTAGCCACAGAAAGGGGGACAGCAGCCCCATCTCCCCACACTCCCGCCTCACTGACTCAGAGCTCTGTTTCCCCCAAGTCCACAGTCCCAACTCCTCACCCATGCCCACACCCGAGACACACTGCCCCACAGCCCATCCCTCCCTCGCACTAGGGTCCCTGTACACCAGCACTGCCCCACAGTTTCCCCTCTCATCCTCTCTGCCTGTGCACTGCTCCACAGCCCAGCTCCCCTTCATCCTCCCCTAGCTGAAGGAGACCCCAGCCCACCTCCCCCGGAGCCCCTGCACTGCCCCACAGCCTGATCTCCCTCAGAGACCCTGCACTGCCTCACAGCCTGATCTCTCATGCCCTCAACCTCCCTGTCACTCACCACTTCCCCCTGTTCTCTCCCTACAGAACTACCCCCCCAGGCCACCTACCCTTGTTCTCCGACACTGCCCCACAGCCCACACCTCCATTACGTGCCCCCTGCAAATCACCCCCCAGCCCTCCCCTCCAGCCTCCCACCACCCCACAACTGCCCTCCCCACGCCTCCACAGCTCTACCCCACAGCCCTCCACCCCACTGACTCCCCGCGGCCCACAGCGCCGAAGCCTCCCGTCACAGAACGGCCGAGGCTGGCAGGGGGCTTATGGAGGTCACTTGGTCCAGAGCCCCGCTCAAGCAAAGCCACCCACAGGACCGTGTCCAGGCGGCAACCACACCCTGGGCGGCAGCCCCCCTCCCCACAAAGAACCACAACCCGTCCCTCACTCACAGAGCTCGCAGTAGCGGTGGCAGCCCCGGCCCAGCCCCTGCAGGTACCGCTGCAGCACGTCGGTGAGGAGGTCGCAGGCCGAGACCTGCACCGAGTCCCAACCCAACGCCTGGCAAATCTGCGCCACCGACACCCGCAGCAGCCACCGCGAGTAGGTCTCGCACATGCCGGCTCGGCTCGGCTCGGCGCCCGCCCGGGCCCGCCGCCCGCCCTGGGCCGGGAGGGCCGAGGGAGGATTTCACACACAGCCCGCCGCCGCCGCCATCTTGGCGCCGCGCCTCCCCGCCGCGCAGCGCCAGGCCGCGCCGCTCCAGCGCCGAACGCATCGAGCGGGCGCCGCGGCGCGGGCGCATCGAGCGATCGGCAATCGGCGGGGCGGAGAGGTTGATGGCAGAAGGGGACCAGCTGTGGTGTTCCCCCCCACAAAAAAAAAAAAAAAAAAAAAAAAACCGAAATCGTTTTTTTTTTTTTTTTACAGCGGTGTGAGGAAAAGTGGGTGCCAGGTGACTTTCTGGAGGCTGGGCTTTCTTGGGAGCGAGGGGCTGCCGCAGGCCCAGAGCGGCCCGACGGGCCCGTGAGGCGTGGGAGTGGAACCCAGGCGCATCAGTTAAACAAGCAGCAATACCAGAAAAATGAAAATTCTTGGTCAAAAAACAGTTTTTCCGGGCCCTGTTTATAAAAAATGTATTCTTTTTTTTTCTTTTTCAGCTGGGTGGAGGAGTCGGGTGTCAGCCCTCTCTGCAGCCATCGCTGTCACTGGGTTTCCCCACACCGCGGGACCTGTCGCATCCTCAGGCGGCTCATACCCAGACAGACACCAAATGTTTGCTGTCAGGACCTTGCCGTTAAATCTTCACTTGAGGGTCAAGCCCTTTAATTCTTCTTCGTGCTGATCTCGCCAGGTGGGCGCTTTTGGTTTGGAGATGGTGGTTGTGGGCTGTTGGGTCCCCACGGTGTTGCCACATATAGCAGGTGTGGGCAACGCTGCATCGGCAGCCTTGCATGCTCGCATAGAAGCTGCAGGATTAGGCCTGTGCTGCGAGGAATGGGAATCTGAGAAATCAGAGAGGAAGTTTGTAACAGAATCCTTTGACAGTGAAGAGACTCCTCAAGGACACAGGAAGGAACAAATTTGACTTTAATGCCAGAAGACTTCTAGGGGATACTTATCCTTTGCAGCAGGAAAAAGTGATTTCTTACATTTCTGCCTCTTCTAATTTCAGTAATCCCTCCAGTGTCATAGCTAAGAAAGAGAAGACTTTTGTGAATTTCTTCTGGAACTGCAATTTTTTGCATGTGGTGTAATTTTTTGCCAGTGAGAGATAAATTGATGGGATGTTTTGGGCATCTTTTGGGGAGTAGAACCTTGGAAGGTCACCTGTATGGAGGCAGGTATATAAATAATTACATATAAAGCTGAGATTGCCTAGGTAGTAGAAACATCAGCTTTGAGAACAGGTGGGACAAATTTGTAAACAATAAGAAAAAAGTGGTTATGGTGCAAGCTGTTGGGGAAAAAATGAGCAAGGAAAGGATGAAACTGGTGGCAAAAAAAAAAAAAGGAGCATTCAGAAACAAAAATAACAGCGGTGTGGGAGGTAGAATGAGGAGCAACAGAGCTGCTATTCAAGGGAACCTGTGTCTGCTTTAGTAACACAAGTGCTAAACTGCAACTCGGTAATTGTGTGTAACTAATCAGTGTGAAGGACAGATTTGTAAATAATAGCAGTCTATTATTAGATGTTAATTAGTTCACAAATTAGCCCCTTGATTTACTAGATGATTAGTAGTGGGTCAATTAGTCAATAAACAGCCCAGTCTCTTGTACCAGTCACATCTCGAGTCTGCAGCCAGAGGAGAGAGGGGCAGGACCTGTGACAAAGTCCTGCAGCTCATTGTCAGGGTAGGCGGATGTTCTTTGCTCATTTTTTCAGTCCATTGAGAAGCTTTGGGCAGTTTTGAACTGGCATAACATTTCTCCTCTTAAAAATGTAATTTTTTCTTCAGTGCTCTAGAAGCCTGCAAATGCACTGACCCCCTTTTTGAAATTTCGCAAGTGTTCTTAAGGGAATTAACACAAAATTTTGACCCTGTCCCCCACAACATCCTTCTCTCTAAATTGGAGAGATATACGGATTTGATGGGTGGACTGTTCAATGGATGAGGAATTGGTTTGGTGGTGCATCCAGAGGGTAGTGGTCAACGGCTCAATATCCAGGTGGAGATCGGTGACCAGTGGTGTTCCTCAGTGGCCCATACTGGGACCAGTACAGTTTAAGGCCTTCATTAATGCCATAGGCCATGGGATCAAGTGCACCCTCAGCAAGTTCACTGACAGCACTGAGCTGTGTAGTGCTGTGACACACTGGAGGGCAGGGATGCCATCCAGAGGGACCTGGACAGGCTGGAGAGGTCTGCCTGTGCAAACCTCATGAGGTTCAAAAAGGCCAAGTGCAAGGTCCTGCCTGTGGGCCGGGGCAATCCGAAACACAAATTCAGTCTGGACAAGGAGTGGATGGAGAGCAGCCCTGAGGAGAAGGATTTGGGGGTGTTGGTTGACAAAAAGCTCAACATGACCCAGCACCGTGCGCTCGCAGCCCAGAAAGCCAACCGTGCCCTGGGCTGCAGCCAGAGCAGGGGGGGCAGCAGGGCCAGGGAGGGGATTCTCCCCCTCTGCTCCACTTTGGGGAGACCCCCCTGCAGTGCTGGGGCCAGCTCGGGGGCCCCCAACAGCAGAAGGACCCGGAGCTGCTTGAGCGGGGCCAGAGGAGGCCACGAAGATGCTGGGGGGGCTGGAGCAGCTCCCCTGGGAGGCCGGGCTGAGAGAGTTGGGGGGTTCAGCCTGGAGAAGAGAAGGGTCCGGGGGGACCTTCGAGCAGCCTCCCAGGGCTTAAAGGGGGGACAGGGGAGGTGGGGAGGGACTCTTTATCAGGGGGTGTGGGGATGGGATGAGGGGTAAAGGTTTTATACTGAAAGTGGGTAGATTCAGACTAGATATAAGGAAGGCATTTTTTTTACACTGGTACAGGGTGCCCAGAGAGGCTGTAGATGCCCCATCCCTGGAAGGGCTCAAGGTCGAGCTGGACGGGGCTCTGAGCAGTCTGATCTAGGTGAAGATGTCCCTGCTCATTGCAGGGGGGTTGGACTAGATGACCTTCAAAGGTCTCTTCCAACCCAAACCGTTCTACAATTCTATGAACATGGGATTCAAGGACTTGGAAGGAACTTCTGTGATCATGCTGCTCCTCATGTAGATGGACCTGACCCAGGCTGCACACCAGGTACACGTTTACATCTTGAGAGGGGGAAGAAAGGAAGGCTGGAGGTTGCAGAAAGGATTTCCTTGCCTATATGAGAGGAATTAAAGGACATATTGTGTGGGGGGAAAGGAACAGTCAGATGTGTTGGGGACAGCAGGAGCGTGGCACAGTGCCACTGACCCAGGCAGGTCCTGCCCCTGCTGCAGTGTCTGCTCTGCCAACCCTCCCAAACACAGCAGCCTTTCCGTGCCCTGCGTTACCTCTGTCACCCCTCTCACCTGAGGTGACACCGACGGGCAGCTGCCTGTCCCCCCTAGCCCATCCGCTGCACGCTCCACCCTGCAAGGGGGTGGCAGCCAGCCAAGCAGCAACAAAAACTCAGACACGGTAGGGAAGGTTTGGGCCTAGGGGTACAGACCTGGGTTCTCATGCCATCAGGGTGGGAGGGTGGTGGGAGCTACGCTAGAAAGCCAGCAGTAGCCTTAAATTATTCCTTAACGAGGATGTTATTTCACATGGAATAGAGAGGATGGATAAATTTACAGAGGAAAATGGGAACATACATCATCAGGATTACCTCCCAAAAATGGAAGTTGATGGGGCTAGCTCTCACCTGCATAAGTAATAATCTACTGTCCTTTTAGGCTTGCACTTTCAAAGCAGTGTTTCCTACACTTAGGTAGGAAAGGAAACAAGACAAAATATGATTTAAAAGGGGTTCTAAATACAAATAAAATTATGCTTAAAAGAATTACAGGCTAAGGTCATGAACTGGGAATTACATAGATCTGGGACTTCTACGCTATCACAACACCCAGTGGCTCCTTTGTCTTCCCACATTTTAGTACCTCCTGAATTCACTCATTCTGACCCATCTGCTGCTGTGCGAAGAGCGGCAGGATTAGAACTGTAGTTCCTTAAAAGAAGTCATTAGAAGCATTTTCTAAATATGTAACACATCTGCTTCAAGACAGTCTCTCTCCTTTCCCTGAATCCCATCTCAGGTCATGCTGCTGCTTTTCCTTTATCCACGTGCACACCTCGATGTACACGCAGAGGCAGCATGCTGAAAGCTGCAGGGCAACATCAACACATCCCTTCATTAAGCCAACAAATTACCTCTAAAGAAACATTAACTCAGGCTCAGCACTTGGTTGTACAATTTCTAGACCAGCTGACTTAGGTCCAACTCAATCCAGCAGGGTGTCTCACATTCACAGACTGTTTGGAAGCTTAAGGCCATTTCCATTCTCCAGATTTGCAAACCCTCCTCTCGTTTCTGTCACGCTGTTACTGAGCCCTTCCAGGCTCTCCTTCTGTCTGTCAAACTGGGAGTGGCAGCTTTCTACTTCTATAGCTACACGGCACTGCTTCCATTTCTTTCTTGCACTTCTGCTATACTCTTTTTAGATTTTATCCTTTCTCACATTCCTGCCGTGCCCAGTGAGGGCCGAGAACTGCAGTGTTACCGTATTTTATAGCATGCAAATATACACACCCACACTGAGCATGATATGACCAGCATGCATTCTAAATAAACACTGAAATGACTCGTGTAGATCAGCTCAGTTCATTTTAGAATACGAACATCTAGAAATAGTAGTAATATGGCATTCAAATAAGCTAGAGATCCGTGTTTAACTGCACAGTGCAGAGGTTACTCTGCAGCCGCCTCCTTCAACACAGCACAATGTACATAAACCAACACTATTAAACACAAAGTGAATACGAGCAATATTCCTCCACTCTTCAAAGAAACACCTGCTTGTATGTTTTTGCATGCCAGATATATTACCAAATGTAGAGCACAGCTTTTTAAAATTACGTTTTAAAGAGCAACCAAGTCAAACCTAGATATTTAAACACCAAGAACATTTGCTCCATGGACAACCATGAACATTTGTTTCATGTAGGTGGTTTATTGTAAGAATTTACAGATTTCTGGGGCTTTACTAGCTTCTTCACAAAATAACAGAGCAGTCTTGTTAACATAGACACAGGCGAGTTAAACCATACGCTCAGAAGATCTCTTCTTCACCTGTAAGGAAAATTGAAGCAAATTAAAACCCTTTTAATTATTTAGGTTTTTATTTAAAACTTTTGTCTCCTCCAGTTTGAATACTTCAACTCACTGATATTCCTTAACACCTCCCCCCCACCCACCCCCCCATTTATCAAGCCTATTTTTCCTTTAAGTTTTAAATATGCTTATTTTGCTACAAAAACCTCTTTTGGTACAACATCTTACATACAGACATTTTTAAGTCATTACATAAGGTCAGGGCACTATGAAAAAATTAAAACAGTAATTGCAGATGAATCCAATAACACAGGAAGAAACCACAGAGGATTATGTCAAATGTGGATGTATGCTATCATGGATGTATTTTGCTTAAAATTATTGACCCTTAAGAACTTTTTGTTCAGGCAGATTCAAACCAGCAGTGGGAAGTTTCCCAGCTCTTTGGGAAGAGAAGTTTGTCTGACCAACACCACTGAATTCTGACTTCCTTATCTGACTTCAATATTGTCTGTGTTGATTTTAAAACACAATCTAGTTTCCAGTTCATAACTTTACCTCTTGGATTTGGCTGAACCGCTTTTTCCGATTAATCCCTGGTTATGGTATTATGAGAAAAAACAGAACAAGCAGGTTAGGAAGCAACTCATGCAAATTCAGGCAAAACTATGCAAGTATTTATAACCGCAAATGTATTGTGAGGAGCACAATACAGCACGTAACTGCTATATGGTATGTATTCCAAGCTTTTTGTAAACACACAGTATATTAACACATGTATTTGCATCTGAGTATAGCACAAATTTTTAGCTGTTAGATGTAAATGTAATACACATTAGCTACGTGCAGTTACAAATTGTGGTCTAAGCCCACACATTTGTAATCTGCAGTATACACCTTCACAAAGTTTCTTTTTCAGGGAAATAAGCAAAATACTGAACTTAAAGTAAAATACACATTCTGTATCAACAGACTGGAAATTCCCTCCTTCTTCCAACCCCACCCCCAAACTCTCAACTTCTGAACACCACCACAGGCTGAGTTTTCCAAAAGCATTTCAGTCACCCGAGTTGCTCTCCCCCACCCAACACTAGTGGGCTGTTTCAGCAGACAGAGTAGGAAAGGCCCAGGTCGAAGGGAGGAGCAGGGGGGAAATCCACTGAATGTGAAAATGAAGGAAAAACATCACCTGTTCAAGCAAGGATGGTGTTGAGGCTAAAGATCTATTGTACCAGCTTTTTAACTTTCACTGGCCAAAAAAGACTGCCAAACTTCACACTTGTTAGTAGAACTGCGCAAGCTGAAAAGCTTGGGAGTCATGCCATGGATTGTCTTCTCTGGTTTTAGGACCTACATGCCCCAGCCTTCCCTGTTAACCCGACTGAATCAGGACATACAAGCATTACATGACTTTGCAACAAGTCCTATTTCACGTTTGTACAGGTACTCACAGAGCAGCAGCACCAGAGATGATCTCAATAAGCTCCTTGGTAATGACAGCTTGACGGGTACGGTTGAATGTCAAGGTCAATTTGTCAATCATCTCAGCTAGAAAAAAATTAAGGTTGGAATTTAAACACAGAAGTATTCAAATACAGAGAAGCTGTATGAACAGAGTATCAGATAGTCTCACAAATCCATGTGAACAATCAAGAGGCTTATTGCACTTTTCATTTTTTTTTTCCCCTACAGATAACACTACTAAGTAGACGATTTAGAAACCTGATAATTTGGCTTGAGGCATCAGAGTTAAACATCTGAAGAACAGCTGACAGACTAGCAAATACCGTGGTATGACATAGCCTATTTTAACATAACACAGGCATGCATTATTTGCTGTTAAATTAGATTTTACTGTCGGTTAACTACATTGGTGTTTCCTTCAAGTTATTGCTCTTCAGGCAAAGGGAGCCAGATTTCTTTTTCTTTTTTTTTTTTTTTTTTAAACACAGAAGGTATCATCTCTTTCTCTCAAGATAAGGTGGTCAGCAGAGTGCCACACCTACAGTTCCCAGTAGCCCAATTACATATCACATCAGCTTCGCTCAGTCACCAGTATCCTTTATGCAACACCACCTTCTTAAGGCTGAAGCCTTATCACCGTGCCACACTACAAGCTATTGGCTGTCTCCCACTAATACCAACTGCATACTCTGCGCTGCACTCAGTTTGGACACCTTCCAAGGAATACTTGTATATTCTCAACTTGCTGCATGACAGGTGGTAAAGTATTTAACCATTGTTTCCATTTCCCCACCTTTAAATCAGTGCAGTACTAATTACATTTGGCCCACAAGTAGGTACAGCTTTATAAAAATTTTGGAAATTCTCAGATCAACAACATGAGAAGACTGTAAAGAATATTTGGCTATGACAAGATTAGTATTTCATATTCTTATTAAAGAATCCAGTTATCCCATCTTGTTCCTCATATACTTGACAGTAATCCCGCTTTCCAGGTACTGAGTAAGATTCGTGTGCTCAGAAAAGAATCCCAGTTGAACTGGCTCAAAAAACCAGACCCGAAATTAAAGAGAGAAACCAGCTCATTTCTTATAATTTTGGAAGCAAAGACTTACAGAAAAGGAGGTCAGTACTTTCATGCTTAACTACTGAAGTCTCAGGAAGCCCACGGTATAGACTTACAAGCATTCTTGCTAGCGTTGTCCATAGCAGTCATCCTAGCACTCTGCTCGCTGGTGGTGGATTCTTTCAGGGAGTAGTACAGAATATTTGCTAGTGTAAATTCCTGGTAGTTTCTCAGGACATCAGCATCAATATCATCATAGATACTTAGGCTTTCTGTAAAATACGAGAGCACGGACTTAGAGAAATCCAAGGTATACTTCTTCTAGCAAAACAATACAACGCCATGCAGAAGACTACTAGGCTAGCCTGCTTCTCTACCTAATGCAACGTAGAGGGATTTTCTCTACGTACTACATGTACTTTCATAATCTCTCTGATTTTTAAAATTTTAGTAAGTAATTTATGTGTTTTAATTCAATTTAATACTAGAGAAGTCAGATTCTGACCAAGGCCAAATACATTATTGGTGTATTATGTTTAATCTTCTCATGCAATGCTGAAGATACATTTGGGAGTATTTTTACTGACTAGTGCAAAGTCACTCGGTACCCAGGCCGTTTGTGATGAAAACATTGGAGCTGACAGAGTTTTGCATGTGCACAATTCTTGCTCGAGAGAGAATCTCAAACCAAAATTACTACAAGCTTTCCTTCTAATCTCCCTGCTCCGTAACACCTTGATAGGTCAGCCTTGGAGCGCCAAGATAAAACAATCTGTTAAACTTGCAATACATGCGCCTTAATAAGATGTTTTAATACCATATTCCCATGTTCAGAGTATTTCTTCTGTCACTTATCACTTCATGTAACTGGTGACTTCTAGGTTAATACTTACCAGAACCAGCAACTGTTTCAAGGGAGAAGATTGGTTTTTCATCGGTCTTGTAGGAGATGACAGACCTGTATAAAAACAATGTAATAGGCTCTTTAGCTCAACTAACCCTAAATTGAGTGCTTAAAATCAAATTAGAATAGACAGCTTCTAGCCTTTCAATTCCACAAAGTTCTGAAATAATCCTGATGAAAAGATCTCAGATACTACGTGGACACTACGACATGCTAACTGTAAATGTAATAGCACACACTATACAAGTAAAAAAGGAATTCCAACCACAGCTATTAAAAAAAAACCCAACCAATGGCTCTTCACACACAAGAAAATGCACTCACTCCTCAAGAAATAAAGTAAACATGACAAGTCACAGTCAGTTTTCATATTACTTCATTAGGCCAACATGCTCTTCAAAGCCTTCTATCCAATATTTTCCCAGTGCAGTTTCAGTTTAATCTTACCTGAACCGATTGTAAATGACAGAGCCTTCATCAAATTCATACCCAGAGTTTAACAACTCTGAGGCAATGACTGAAGCATCTCCAAAGCTTGGAGGTTTCCGTCCCACTTCTTTGAATGTCAGCAGCAAGTAATTGCCATGAGTCCTGCAATAACATCAAATCTGCGTTAGAACAAGTGGATGCTCTAAAGTACATCTACGTGGCACCAAGAGGCAATGAGTCCCAGTAACTTACTATTATGATAGCTTCATGATAATGTGTAGCAGTGTTAAGTGTTGCTAGCTTTCAGACTTTTATTCCAGAAATATAATAATACTGTGCATCAGTTTCACAGATGTCTAGATGATTAAAAGCCATATTAGCAGGTTTGGTTTTATTTTTTTAAAGGAACTTGAATCTAGAAGTTTAAATAAATGCAATTGACTGTGAATTCCACACTTTCCAAGCAGTCTTGAAATTTCTAACACAGAAAACAACCAAAACCACCAAACCAAACCCTTCTTTTTTTTACCTCTGAAGTAAGCCTCTGATCTTGTCACCTACTCCGACCACCATAACTTCTTTCCCTGCGTTTGAGAGGTTGGCAATCTCATTCTTCAAGGTTTTAGCAATAGACGTGTGAATAGCACCACACAGACCTCGGTCAGAGGACACACCAATAAGGAGATGCTTCTTCTTGTCCTCAGGCGCCTTTATTTCTGCTTTCTCATAGAGAGCTAGAAAAAAAGATGGGTAAGTTATTTGAGGGTGCCAGGAAGCAAACAGGCCATATCAAAATACCTTTGAATTATTCTAACTAAATTTCTGAAGCGGTTTCAAATCACAGTCAGGTTATTTTTAACTCCTTCACAATCATTCAAGCTTGCACATGATCTGACCAGAGGTGACAAAGAAACAATTCAAAGCCAGCCACATCTCTGCATCTGCTATCACACAATCAGTGTCATTACTCAGTGAAGTTCACTGTGCAAGTCCACTGCCACAGGAGCACGTGCAGCCCAAGAGTTTGCAAGAAGGTTTGGCAGTAGTTGTAGATGCTACACAGTTAGGACACAACTCCAATAAATGACAGAAGCAGGCCAAACATTCCAAGTTATAGTGCTTTTATGGCTAACAACCAAAATTAAGAGAGTAATCGGAAATCATAATGCATTTCATAATAGAACTCTTAAAAAACACTTTCCATAAATTACTTGTAAGGAATAGTCAAGGTGACATTGGCCTAGAGATACAAATTCTCTTGGAAAAAAAATCTACCAAAGGTTTAAAAAAGTCTAGGCATTTTATCACCACCATGAAAGCCTTCCTCCTCTGTTCCCACATCACACGGTGCAAGAGTCTTCTCTCACCCAGCGCTCCTGTTCCATAGATCCTAGCAGGCTTCAGCTCCCTCTCAGCTCTTGCGTATTTTGCTGCAGAAACCATCTTCATGGACTTTGTAATTTTCTGAATGTTCTTGATGGACTTCAAACGCCTGGTAACTACAAGATTAATAGTTGAAGGTCATGGGCTGTACTGGGCATAATGACATCAAAACCAAGCAAGAAAATGCTAGCAACAGCCATCCAAAAATATCTTGTCAAGTTCTTCAAAGAAGAAAAAATAAACAATACGTAAATAAACCTCATAAAAGACCTTAGTATTTACACTAACAAACTATTAAGAATAGTAATCTGGCTAACCCAAATGTATCTTTAAGACAGATATGGTTTCTCCTCCAGACATAACATTTACTTAATATTTAGCCCAACATAAATTCTATTTACTATTATCTTTCATTCCACTTCTACCTGTTTCACAAATATGTAATTTGAGGTATAGTGTCATCTTTTCCCAGACAACAAGGCAGGGGGAAAAAAAAAAAGACCCAATGCTATATGAAACAGAATAAAATTTCTCCTCTGTTTAGGCTGTAGCAAAATGAGACTCATAAAAATACTGGTGTAAAAAGAAAACAAAACAGGTGTCCTAAGGAAAGCACAATATCCCTGTATAAGAACCTATGAGGAACAGCTTAAATAGGAATTATCGAAGTGGAACCATTCAAGTCAACCTTTTTCTTCCCAATGTTGTACCCAGTACTGTATCCAACACACAAGGAAATAAACATAATAGAAAATAAATTAATTCTTAAAGGTGAGCAAAAAATCTGGGTTAGCACATATGATAATGTTATTTTTAAACTATGTTTGAGTAAAACTATATTGGTTTGCTGCAATGACATCTAAATTAGTGCTAAAACCATTTTAAGCAATGCCTTTTCTGAAAGATAATTGTTTAATATAAGTGCCAAATACTCATATAGCAGTGTTACGGTGTATCACAAATCAGTTTATCCAACAGAGGCTAAGCAAAATTATGCTTTAACATCTGGTTTCCTTGCAACACTTGCCCTCTCTGAACAGGAAACAAAAGCAGTACTTACTGTCTTTTAGAGTTGCCATATTCCTGATTTGGCCCCTGAAAACAAATGCAGGAGAAATCAGGATGGTTCACTAGTTCTCCAGCAAACCAACACCTATCAAGTGCAGGTCCCTTTCAGAGGGATGAAAATTTAGCAATTGCTGTTTCTTAAAAAGCATGTTAGTGAAGACAAGCCGCTCTAAACCACGCCTTGTATCCAGACCTTCCTTCCTTCTCCTTATGTTCTGTGACACCATATGTCATTTAACACATTATCCACTGCCTTGGGTCATGGCACAATGTAAAGAAGGCCAGACGGCACGGCATCAGAAGGGTACTACTTTCAAAAGATATAACTTTTAAAAAAAAAAAAAAAAAAAATGAAGGAGAGGCGGCTACACCATTCCCTGACAAGAGCAGAATCTCCTTGCCCCTTGTCACCCACCAAGCTGTCCTTTTCCCTCCTCTCGCCTCGCCCATTCACAGCCCCCCACGGTCCCGGCTGAGGTCCCTCGCCCAACACCCCCAACCCCCCCCTCGCCCCCCCCCAACACAGCCCCCCAGCTGAAAGGACAGAACCCCCG